ATCGAGTCCACACACTCCTTAGATGCAACCCGTATCACCCCTAACACATGAAATAAAGTGTTTTCATGCATTACTGTGTGTTACTTGCTTAATTAGTTATTAAACAACCAATTAGATACAACTATGTATCACTTCTTGTTACATAGGATCCTCGCGTGTGTTCAAATCCTAAATTGACACCAAGCATCCTACCCGACACACCCACGTCAGGTGAGTTCATACCCTACCTTTTTCCGAGTTTTTCATGTTTTCAGGGGGGAATGCAAGCAAAAGTGCAAGGTAACTTGTACTCAAAACCTATTATTTCGTATGAAATGTTTACATGTTCAGCATGATTTTAGCATAGAAAACCGTTTTACCAACCGACTATGAAATTAACTGTTGAGATAGTTTTTAAAACTAAAACAAGGAAACTTGTGAATCATATCATAAAATTTTATATTTTATATTTTACAAAGGATTTATGCCAACTTTAAATGGGATTTTCCATATTATTACTTGTAAATTCGTTATTCTTAAGATTGGAGACACGTCCTTGGTAACACTCCACCGGGTACGAGAGTATAGGACTACCCTTGTAACCAGAATCTCTTGGAGGGAGAACGTGACTTTTGTGTATAGATCTATACGGGACTAACTATCCTGCACCTTGCTGCTAGCTACAGTGGGACCGGCAGGTCTACGGGTAACAAAGTCATAAAATGATACTGGTCTTGTTACGAGCCATATCTAGTTTATTGTACGGTTATAGAATTTGCAAACTTAGATAATGGAGATTTACTTTTATTAATAATGAACCTAGTGAACTAACCTCAAAGTAATAATTGTTTTGATTGCTAGATGGTATCAGTAATACCCTTAGGTATTAGTTCACTACCTACTTATTAGTTTTATATATGTGTTAAAACTAATGTACTTTATCAAGATTAACCTAGCTTTCAAGGAAACTTCACCTAACGATACAAGTATGGTAGATACTTGTACACTTCATTCCGGATCGATAACCAACCATCAACTTTTAAGGAAACTAAGGGTTTTTCCGGGGATAACTTAACTTTTCATAAACAGGTTGTTTAACAAATGGATAACTAAACTTCTTTTATAAGAAAATATGGGATTTTCTTGGGAAACAACTTCTCATAAAATCAAAGGAAACATATTCTTTTACCAGAAACCAACCACTTATGAACTCACAAACATTACGCTGATATTTTAAAACTGCTTGTATTCTCAGGTTCTTGTTAGACAGATATCCCACTTTGTTTTGGAGAAGACGGAGTGTATAGAAGTCTCGTCTGTTCTTTTCTTTATACTGATGTATTTAATCTATGCATTACTTTGCTTTCAACCAAATGTAAATATTTTTATGTAATGTAATGGTTGTGTTTACTATGCTTATTGTGTACAATTGTTGTGATACCTGACATGACGTCCCCGCCCCCGGACGTTTTCGCCATTGTTTTCCTGACGGTCCGGGGGTGTAACAGAACTCTTAAATGGGCTCTAATTGGACGCACTTTCATTTATTTTAACATTTTGGGCCATGATGGGTCTAGATTGAGATAAATACCCTTATTGGGCCATAACAAATTCAATTAGCTTTAATGGACTCAAATTCCATTCCTTTATGCTAAATTGGGTCGTGAACTATCCGAAGGAACCCAATGGGCCAAAAACCTTTCTAAGAACCTCATTATTTCGAACCTAGGCTAAAATTGGGCCAAAAATTTATTCATACCATTTCCCACTAGGTCAATTTCGGACCATGTGTAAAAAAAAAAAAATTTGCATGGGAAATAGGTTGACACCTCATTTTTACATATGGGATTTCCATACTAATTATACCTCATGTATCTAGATTATGAACCTAATCCATCATGCAATAACCCACTTGGAAATCCACCCTTCTCTTTTTATCTCTCTCGGCGGAAAGTAGTAAAACACACACACACATATCAAACTCCATTCCAATAATATCAATACCTCCCAATAACATCTCCATTATTCCTTCAAAATTCCGAGACTTGCTTGCATGCCAAGAAGATCTTTCCCTCATAACACAAATCTATGGTAAGCTTTTACTTAAATCCAAGGTCTAAATTCTATATCTCATCAAAAATCATCTTTTAATTCATTCAAATTCGTGATCATACTCCTTAGATGCAATCTAAGCCCAAAGACTTCTAAAGAAGCTTCTTAGGCCGAAAGATCTCATCATTTTCATCCTTTCTTCTTCAAATCGAAAACAACAAGCAAAGGTGAGTTCCTAGCCCTCTATTTTCGGTTTTCATATGTTTTATGGGGGAGAATACAAGTAAAATGTGTAGATTTATGTGTATTTGTATGATATGTGTGATTTCTTGTTTTATGGGGTAAATATGTGCCAAAAATACATGATATTTTGAGATCTATAGTTCAAGGAGGAATGAAAACATGATCTATGATATATTACACTAAACAAGTCAAGAAAAATTAACCTCTAAGGTGATAATAAACATATTGCAACATAAAACTCATTTTTGGGCTATATTTGTCAAATAAACAAAAGATGGGTTGAAAGTTGTCATTCACGGATTTCTTCAGGACTAAATGAGTCAAAACAGTAAAAATAAAGGTTCGTATGAATATCATACTCTTTAAAGGGCTACAAATGCAATTTGTAGCATAATGGGCCAATTTTTGGGCTTTCGAACCATTAAGCCAAAAATTGCGAAAAATGTGATTTTTAAGGGATTGGAATGATATATTTCTCAAAAAAGGGGGTAAAAGGGTAAAAAAAAAAAAGCTATTTCAGGGGATAAAATGATTTTTTTTCAAACAAGGATAAAAAATGTAAAATTTTGGACTTTGGGCCAAAATTGTAAAAGTTGCGAAAAGTTTGGGCTTAAACTGAAAAACTCTTTACTGGAGGGGCTGAAATTGCCAAAGAGTAAATTTTGAGCTAAAGTCATCACTTAAACAAGTATATGGTTCACAAGTGACAAGAAAATGGTTTTAGGGCCTAAAATGTCTTATTATAAGGGACTAAAATTGTCATTTTTATTAAAGAAGGGCTGAAAAGGTCAAACCAATATTTTGAGTCCATTATTTTATCATTAAGATATTTGGGTAAAAAATACCAAACTACAACTTATGAAAATAGAAAGATGAATATACATATAATTCTAAATATCGTTATAACCAACCGATCGGCCTCGTACCGATACAAATTTAACAATTGTTCAATCAAATATTCCGACAATTATACTATACCTAAAACAAGTAAATATTTAAATCTTTGGGCTTGAAACTCTCTAATCATGCTTATTGGGCTTTCGTGACCCATTAACATAACTTTTGGGCCCAACGATAAAAGTAAATGTTTATTGGGCCTCATGTAACCCAATTACATACTTAAGGGACCCTCAATGGCTTTTATGTGCTATTGGGCCTCAATGGCCCATTAGCATTGCTAGTAACGTCCAAATAAATCATATGCGAAATAGACCAACGCGTTCGTCGCATACTCAACAGCCTTAACTAACAAGCGTGATTAGCATGATCTTGTGGTCCTCTTCTTCTCATCTGTTAGGCTCACCATCAATTCAAGTAAACAAATACAGGTCGATAATCAATAGTAATCAAATTCAGTTGGGATTAAGTGAGTAATAACGGGTGGCACCAACGTGTGTCAGTCGTAGTCTGTAGTTATAATCAAAGTCTCCTGGATGGAGAACGAGAGTTTGTGTATAGATCTATACGGGGGTGACTCCCCCACACCTCAGCTGTTTGCAACAGTTAGACTCGGTCAGTCTAGGGTGACAAAATCTTAAGATCAATTCCAGCGTTCACCTGAGTGTCAAGACAAACAAACTAGTCGTTATCATGCATGGTTATAACGACTCACATAAATAAATCCAATACTATTTGAGTAATCAAGGCAAATCAAAATCATTCGTTGTGATGGAATAACAATTTGAATAGTTATATGATATTTCGTTATCGGAAAACATCGGGTTTTCCAGGGGAGATCAACATTATTCAGTTGTACTTTCAATACAAAACTTCTCATTTATACACGTTTTGAAATCATCATGCATATATTTATAGATCTTCACACTTTTATCTAAACAATTGTCGTTTCAGAAAATATTGGATTTTCTGGATTTTACAAACTACACAAAACATTTTTATATCAAACCTGCTTATGAACTCACCAATATTCTATATGTTGACGTTTTTCAAAACAACTTGTATTCTCAGGTAACAGGTAACCTGAGGAGTAATACCAAGTATGTTAGGGTGTTATGCTTTTGAAAACTATCAAACAATGTATGCTATGGATATGTAATGTTTAAACAATGTACTCGATGTGAACAATTTCAGTTGTGATGTATTGATGCATGGTGATGTTTATGTTATGATTCATGTATATCCATTGTGATAATATTCAATTTAAGTCACGCGAGCCCTCGGACATTTCCGCCATCTGGTTCGGGGGTGTGACAGATTGACATTTTTTGAGATGCTCTATGGGAGGAAATGTAGGACCCCGATATGTTGGGGTGAGGTTGGTCAGTGATTCATGGGGAGTACCGAGGTGGTACTCAAGATTGCTGAGTTTGTAAGTCTGAAAACACTTAGATCAATACGATAACAATCAAACTATCTAAAGAATGCGGAATATAAATCAAATAGTGATTCAAGAACACACTAGTGACTCTCAATGCACACGATTTATTAGTTGAAATCGTCTGCTACACCAAAATCTTCTTAACAGTCGAAAACAATAATGATCAACAACTAGAACTCCTAAACGGCTATCGTAGTACAAAGCCTTAACAGGCCGAAGCCCAAGCTAAGCGAATTCACTATGTAATTTCGATCCCCATAATCAAAAACACCATAAGCCCACTAACAATAAACATTCCTAAGCCCAAGTAAAATATAAACTAGAAACCCAGCATAAACCATTTAAATATGACCTAACAATATCCCCCTTGGTTTATTGTTGGCTGACTTTACAGCTTCTCCACAAGATGAACATCATAATCTGCCAATGCTCCTGCCAATAGCCTCTTATCAATGAATGTCACAATCATGCCAGTGAAAGCCTTTGTTGCAGCTTCAAACATTTCATTTTCCACCATAAGTTGATGCTTGGATAAAGTATGAATATCATGCCCGTCAAATTTCAGCAAATCCCTAGGATCAACAAGACGAATCTGATCCTTTTTCATCTTGATTACGATAGTCGTTGTCGCCTCGTCATATACCCAATATAGTAAGTCATTCAAAGAGCCATCAGGTACACGTTGAGTGATAGGGATCTTTTTCGCTTTATTTGTAGGTGGCCACATAACATTCACCACAATCTTGGTGGTGCATGGATCAATAAGACCCTTGACCTTTTTAACAAACGATGACGTTGTTTTCAAGCCTTCAAATTTTTCTTCGCTTTGTCTTCTAGGAACTTCTTAAACGCCCATGCCTTGGGGTCATTTGTTGGATTGCGGAATGGTGCGTAGACCAGCTCTGCAAGATCAACTTTTGTCCAAGACACAAAGTCAATCTTCTTCACATAGTACTCAATGCTTCTGATCTTTCTCTTCACAATCCACATCTTCTTATCAGCTTCATATCCCCACATAAGATTTCCAGAACGATCACAATATCTTTGGGTGATCACCAGTAGCATTCTAATTAGAGTTTTTCATAAGAAGAATTTTATCTTTCCTCAACTTATCAACTTTTCTCTGCCTGTCCCTTCTTTATTCAGCTATGACGAGGCTAGAAGACATAAATTGATCAAGGTTATAATCTGGGGCAAGATTAACCACAACTCTTTCAGATGTCTCTAAAGCTTTTCCATCATTAGAACCTGAAGTCTTGAACTCGTCACCAAAATTTCCAATTAATATTTCTTTGAGATCAAAATAAAGAGTTGTCAACCCACCAATATTGGGTTGAAGGTCTGAGATCTGCTTACTCTTTTGAGAATTTTCATTTTCAAGCTCATAAACTCTCACATCCAAAATTCCAATCAACAAATCCTTATCAATGGACACCTACTTCAAAATTACGATCTCTTGTTTGAGCTCATAAATGTTTTGTTGAGACTATTCATCACCTCCTTGCCCTTAGCCAATAGATATTCCCTTTCCTCTTGACTGGGGAATAGAGTCTTGAAAAGCAAGTACCTTGGCTAACTTGATAGATGTAGAATCGTGCTTTGGAGGTGGTAAGGTAGAAGAGCTTCCCGAGGAAAAAATTTCCTTATTAGCTACGAAGTCTTCGTCAAAAGTTGGGCTTTGATCATCTTGATTAACCTGGGCTGGTTAAACATTTGAAGTTGGCTGAGTAATGAGCACTCCCGGTCTTGGATCTCTGCATCTTCGCTTTCTTGGCATCAGGGACGCATTTGAGTCGTCTTTATCACTCCCTTATGGAGACTCGGTAGTAACATGAACTACTTGCGGAGGCTTCCTCGCAGTTGACTGTAATTTTTCGATAAGGGCTTCCATCTATTCGGGTGTTGGATCGTTTGGTTGCTTGAAAATTTTGATTTCATTCTCTATCCCAACTGGAGAAATCACAGCCTCATTGACTGGCTCCTTCTATGGTTCAAACACAAAAACATCCTCCTCCTCCTCCTCCTCATCATCATCATCATCATCATAAACCTCAAATGAAAAACTGAGATTTGATTTTGATGGTGCCACATGTTCCTCAGCCACCATAGCAATTGGAGTACCAGCAGTTTGAACACCTTTTGTCTCTCCAAATTTTCTAAATTTCACAAGTTGTAACGCTCTAAAAATTTCAACCAATTTAAACTTTTCAAAAACAACCCATATTCATTAAATCATTACAAAAATGTTTTCAATACATTTATTATCAGAGTATCCCCAGAACCATATCATAAAGCGTAACATGAGGAGCGGTACAATCATGGCTTTGCCTAGCCACTCTCACCTAAAGTACCTGAAACGTTAAACCACAACTGTAAGCCCGAAAGCTTAGTGAGATACCCCCAAAATACCAACCACAATACCATACACATATCATATCATAAGCAAACTGAACAGCCATGCAATGCGAGTCTACTGTGTGACTAGTGTTGGATTAATGTCTAAGTCCATAACTATAATTGGTAAGACTTGACCCGACCCGACATGATCCATTTGGGTTGCATGGCATCATGCACTTGGATAGACTATAATGAGAGAAATAAGACACTTATGGTTATTAATATATTATAAGTTCTAGTATATTAATAATAAGAATAATAAGATTACTTAATTAGTATTGATCAAGAATTAATCTAGGATTAATTAAGTGATCAAAAGAAGACTAATTAAATATATGGGTTGATTGTGCAAATCATCCATACTTATATAGTGGGCTAATGCTCCATGGATTATCTAGTTAGGCCAAAACCCATATGATGCTCCATGGTGTATTTGAACCCATGAATCCAAGGAAATGGAAAGTCATGACAATTAGGGTTTACCCTAATTATATAACTATATAAGCATCTTATTCTTAATCAAAATCGGCCACTAGAGAGACTAACAAAGGGCTAGCCGATTTTCATGAAGTGTAGAATTCTCTCAAGTTATTCCAAGTGTATTTGGGTTGTGTGAACCATTTGAGGTGTCACACTTGGGGCACTAGGCACCCAAGCTTCATGAAGACAAGCACTAACAAAAGGTATGTTATTCTAACTTGTGTTATTCAACGTTTAGTATACTAGAATAGAACAATACCTTGGAAACTTGATATTTGCATGTATAATAGAGAACACATAGATCCAAGGTATTTAGGGTTGCATGTACACTTAGGAGTGTTAGAATGCTCATAACCCAACAGTGGTATCAGAGCCTAGGATTGTTTTCTTGTTATACTTGCAAATGGAGCTGAAAAATCGAGTTTTGTTGTTGTCTACCCAGCAGACTCGCCGAGTCCATGAAGGGACTCGACGAGTCCAAGGCAAAAAGCATCCAACTCGCCGAGTTGGTTAGTGCACTCGACGAGTTGGACCCCCAGACAGCATAAATTCGATCCTTTTGGCTAGAAATGGACTAGGAACATTACCCTAAGAGGTTTTTGAACTTATAAACTTGTTTTTGATGTGGTAATGTTCATGCTAATCCAATTTTAAAGATAATTGTCAATAGATTCATGTTTTGTATTAGTTTAAAGGTTAGACTAATTACATGAAAAAGTTTGATTTGAATTATCTTGTTCTTATCAGTTACTTAGATTAATAGAAAAAGTTGAGTGAAAAAGTTGTTTTCAATCCAAATTAATCTAAGAGTTGATTCTAAAATGTGTTTTTGTAACTTGTCATCAAGTTATATGAAAAGTCACATTTAAGTTTCATAAAACTCATAAAAGTTGGCAAAGGTTACAAAAATGAAGAGTCTAGTTCTAATTACTTGGAGTTATGACTCCATAATTTGTCCTCAAGTTATGGAGGACCATGAGTCTCTTCATTAAATAAATAAATAAAAAATAATGTAACCTTAATTAATTCCATAAGTTATAAAAATAAAGAAAAGTTAATTCTTTTATTAGTTTAAAGTCTTCCATAAGTTATGGAACTTGAAGAGTTTTTGGATTAAAACTACTTTAAACACATAAGTTATGGAATTAATTAGTTTTGAATAGTTTCAAAACTTGCCCTCAAGTTTTGGAATTTGTAAAGTTCTCTCTTATGAAAACTTTAATTCCAAGTTAGCCCTTAGAATTTTAAAAGTTAAAATTCAACCCTTATACTTTATAATATTATAAGTTATATATATATATATATATATATATATATATATATATATATATATATATATATATATATATATATATATATATATATAAGAGTAAAGTCGGTCTTACCGCTAGTACGCCTCATTCAGGAAGCCGGTCTATAAGGTGGGTATATGGTTGTTGCCTATAAAATGACAACTTAATGGGTGTCCACTCTCACCCACCGCTTGCTTGACTGGTGGAGGGTCGTTAGCTGAACGGGTTTGACAGGACGATAATTCTCCCTTCATTAAAAGTATAATGATATATACTAAGTAACTAAACTCTTAAAAATACCCAATCTTAGTTACTTAGGAAAATGTGAATAAGGTGCTAATCCATGAAATTACACTTTGTACTTTGTTTAAGTCGGTTAGTGGAGCGTGTGTGGTTAACCGGCACACTAACTCGTATTTAACAAGGTAGGCAAAGGGTAACTTAATGTTTATCATAGTATCGATGGAGCGTGTGTGGCTAACCGACACATCGATTGAGGGGTAAACACTTAAGGGTACCAAGTAATTTGCATGGTTACTTCACACCTTGTTTTGTGATCCTCGGCATCCCAGTCACAAAACTTGGAGGGCACACTCGAGATTGAAACATGCCTTTGAAAAGTTCAATGAATCTCAAAAGATCTAGGAGTTTCAAAACCAATTAAAACCTAATAATACAGTTCGTTTATCTTGGTGGAAATTGGTGAATCGTCATTCACCTACCTTCAAATTGTTTTATAGCTTGGATTACGGCATACCTCTTCTAAGTTATAAAATAGTTTGTTGGGTCCTAGCCTTAATATTTCATATTGGGTGTCATATTAAGGACTTAAGATCAACTATCTTGAATATCTCCCAAAAGATGTCTAGTTTAGACCTTCATGATCTTCCCAAATCTCTTGAAACAAGTTTTCCTAAATGAAGATGATGTCCCATGGAAATCATACTTCTTTCACCTCCTCCAATTATTCTCCCTAACCCACAAGTTCTTGAAAAGTTTAAGGTCACTCGAGCCCCATTGGCAAGTAAAGGTCTAGGTGTGGTCACATCTTGGAGATGTAGTCACATATTGACAAGCCGGGAGAGTTGGGTGTCAAAGTCTTGAGAAAGTTGGTGGTTCAATCACTTTCTAAGTCACATAGTGAGTTCTTTTGGAACACCTATGAAACAGACTATGACAAGACCCTTAATGATCTTATCTATTTGTTAAGATCAACTTCCTCAAAACTTGATGGACATTGACAAAAGTGACACAGGAAATCCAGAAAAGCATTCTCTTCCCAATGGAAAGGGATCGGCCATAGTCAACTCGATTGAACAAATGGTAAAGAGAAATGCTAAGTTTGTGATAATCCCGCGTACCATTATCAAAGGGTCCATATGTTTATATTGCTAAAGGAAGGGTCATTGGTTGCAAAGCTGCCAAGTTTACCTAAGGATGTTAAAGTCAATAAGTTTGACTCCACTTCAGGTAAAGTCCACTATCTAACTCTGCTAAGTTTCTATTCTGAGATTCTTATTACATGATGTGACTGGGTCACATGTTGATGTTTTAAGAATCAAAGAAAAGTGAAGGAACTTAAAGAAAGAATATGCTGAATATGATCACATAGATGGATTTCTATCGCGTAGTTTGAAGATCGGATTCTTGAGCTACTTCTTAGGAGTTATGAGGTATTGCTTAGGAATAGATAACAACAAGTTTTCATATGGATTGTAAGGATAAGTTTTTCCGCATAGTTTTAAAATAAAAGAAAATTTTTTGATTTTATTTATTTTAAAATATCCTTACAATAGCATTTGAGGAAAAATTGTTGCTTATATGATTCCATTAATAGCAAGAGTGGAAATATGAAATTGATTCCTTCATTTGTGGTAATGTCTAAATTTACCAAATAAGGAAAGATTCTCATCATCCAAAGTCTCAATTGGACCGAGACTTGGAATCATGCAAGTTGTATAGCATGATGAATGAGAACTTTCAAGTATTGGAAAAATTAAGACTAATTACTTGTTCACATGGATGTGTGAGTCAAGTAATGGACTAAGGGATCGAGTACATAGTTATGTGCACTGATTAAGTCCACCACAAAAGATTGATAAAACTATTCGTCATAGTTTACTAAAGCTCAGTAAATATGATTATACATACAAGCTTAAGTGTAACTCTGAGACATTGGAAAAAGGTTCCAATGTATGACAGAGCGAATAAGAAGAATCAAATTAGGCAGAAGGATAAAAGTTTCTCAAATCTGAAAAGATGGGAGAGTACTTTAGTATCAGTTTTGTGATCATCTTAATGATTAAGAAACCATAGCACAATTAGTTCTCTAAGGAAGTCTTAGTGCATTCTTATGACTAAGAAGAGGGATCTTGAATTGTTGAAATGGTTAAATCAAGAAGATGAGTCATACTTCGTTCCAATACAAGTCTTAGAGTCATACTCCAAGATTGTAATTGAGTGACATGTCTTAAAGAAGGTTTAAAACACTTGTCAAATGTAAGAGTAAAAGTTTCTACTCTTGTACATTTGAATTGGTAAGTT